ACGTAGGACACCAAACCAAAAAACTAACAAACATCTTCAAACCACTGAACATCAACATCACATACAAGCCGAACACGAAGATAACACAAAAAATAAACAACTATGAAAAAGAAGAAGACAAAAACCAAAACGGGATATACAGTATACAATGCTCCTACTGCAACAAATTCTATATCGGCCAAACCAAGAAAAAACTAATCCAAAGGTACAATGAGCACAAAAAGGCATACATAAATCCAATAGTATATAAATCAAACCTCGCAACACACTCCATACAAAACAAACATAATTTCCCCCCACCAGAGAACATAAAACTCATAAAACAAGTCAACAAGAGAAACCGCATGGACATTTGGGAAAACTTGAACATCCATAAATTCAACAGTCAGAAATCACTCATCGAGGAACAAGTACAAATCAAAACACAACAAGACCTCAAATTCAATATATTAAACAAAACCATACACATTCCTAGAGAAGATCTAACACAAAGAAGAGTACCTGATGCAGTACAAATACAGGCAAATTTACCCAAAGTACCTGAAATACCTGAGTTGAGACGCTCTGATAATTGGCCTCATCAGCGCGGTGCAGTCAAGTGTAAAGATGTATATAATATATACAGATTTCTTGAATTTCTTGAATTGAGGGTCGCTGTACATTACGATTAATTCATTTTTCAGTTGAATAACATCGAAAAATGGATACTGAACTATTAAGTGGTTATAAAGTTTTTGGGGAAAATCTTTGGTATAGGACGAAAATTTTTCAAACAACAACAAATCAAAGTAGTTTAATTTAAGTAAATCTTCAAATCTAACTTTGATTTGCAAAATAGAAAAAACAACATCGGTATGTTCAAATATTAATTTAAATATTTCTAACAAGAAACAAAACTTGTGATCATTCAAAATATATTTGAAACCTCTCGCCTCCCTAAGACTTTGGTCGTCGGTTTTAAAATCTTCACTGTATAGGATAAAATCAAAGACATCAATCAATTTGTCTTTGTTTGAATGCACTGAAATTACTGCTCTAGATGTAGAATTCCAACGCGTAGCAGCAAAAGTTGGCATTCGGCTACCACATATTTCATTCAAAACATGGCTTCTTTTGGTGGATTTTGAAAAGAATGCCGAAAATCCAGACAAACTTGAAAAAATACGCGGCAATCTTTTATGTTGTTGCACGATTTGCTTAATACTAAATTTAGGACACGGGCAAGACAATGCGTAAAATGTGCTTGAGGAGCTATAGACTTTATTTTAGTTTGTAAACCATTTAAATGACCGGCCATGTCCGCAGCCCCATCATAGGTTTGCGCAATTAACTTTTGCCTAAAATTATAGGTATCACACATACGAATTAAAAAATTAAACAAATCGTCCGCTGTGCGTCCGAATAATTAAATTGAAAACAAATGCAGTCGTACACTAACGAAAACCAACTGAAGGATAGCCTCCTCTGACGCTATAATTTCTACAACTAAAATTACAAATCGGGACGTATGTCACTGGCTGGATCGGTCTCGTGGAGCATGTGTTTTTTAAAGCGGTCGGAGGCTTGGCTCCCTTGCAACGTATCAACGTATGACATTTATTATTTCGGGTTGATGTTTTCTTCGTTATTCTTTCGTGGGCGGTGCGTTTGAGGTTTGTTGATGCAGGATACAGTGTGGTACGTACTACGTAGTGAGTGATACTGTTTACTGTTTTTTCGGGCATATTATGTATTTATATTAAAAATTAATGGTGAAGTAATGATACCCAAGTATTTTTAGTGAAAAATAATTATAATCATTTGTCAATATCTTTCAATTTATTGCGATGAATAGACTCAAATTTCATGGGGAGGCTAAGCCTCCTTAGCCTCCTCTGACGAACCGTCGCTGGCTAAGCAGTATGTTGCGAAAGGTATAAAAAATATATTATTTCCTAGGAAATATAATATGGTTGTTCACATAAACATTATAACGTCTATGGTTGCTAACCATCCTTTCGATCATTCAAAAATAAACAGAAATTCACATGTTTTCTCTATGTGTTATAATAGTCTGCCAACTGAGATTGGGAAAAAATTTGTTAGTTAACAATTGAATAACTTTTTTGAAAAATATATTGTGGCGCCATCTTTTATAAAGTATTCTAACTTCTCTAGAGGAATGGAACTGAAGGGAATAAAACTGTAATGGCACTATGACATCGTCTGCATGATCTACGAGATGGAAGAAAGATTGCCAAATAGGTAAATAATTACATTTTGGTATTTTGATTAGTTTTATTACATTATATCAATGGATGACATATTATACGAGGTTGAAATCGATATTTTCATACCTTCACGAGTTTTATAAACTACAGATTCCAAATAAAAATTCAAAAATTCTAAAGATGTCAGTCTGGACGATAAATCATCTCCTTCTATAGACCCGAAGGCTACCAGATTTTTCCGGTGAGTCCTCAAAAGCACTATCACATAAAATACAAAAATTTTTGAATATCTTGTTATAATTATTATGTGTGTTTACTTAAAAGCGAGTAAATTTTGTTATGAAAGTTGATAATTCGCTTCGACTCAAACATTCCAAGTATAGGTACACTGAAATGTTATCAAGCACAAAATTTATATGGATATTTTTTGTCAAACATTTGTTTCTCAAGAAAAACCGTCTGGCCACTTTTATTCTCCACATACAAACACAAATATCTGTGGAACTTCCGAAAAAATTGAAAAAGAAATTCTTCGTTTCCTCCCTGTCGCGCATTTCTCGTGGGGAAGTGGACAAGTAGAAAGCAAAATGCTCTTTTCTCCCAAAAATTATTTTTTACTAAAAATTTTTCCTTCTTGATTTGTTCTTCAAATTTTCCAGACCCAGTCCACGCCGAGTTTTTGAAATTAATAAGGATAGTAGGTATCTTATTCATAAACTGGTCAATATGGAAATGCCTGGTTGAATGTGCTTTACTTCATATATAAATTAAATCTCTTTAAAAAAAAAAGGAAATAAAATATCTAAATCTTTCAAGTTCAGATTGTCGAAATTCCAAATGAAACAACATTGAAACAATTATATTTTTTTGCTATGGATTTTCATCTTCGAAAACACAAAGTAAAATCTCGATATCATTGGTAACCGTCATGAATAATAATGTAAGATCATGTTTTTTTTATTTTTTGACATTGAAAGTTTTCAGATAGATGAGATTATCAACGTTCGTTTATTTGGCATTTAATATTAGTATTGTAAGTTTACTTACTACTTAGTTGATTCGATTTATGATTTGATGGGACTTTACGAAATTTCTTGACTCATATCTTCTGAAAAAGCTGATTATGTTTTATAGATTTTACTTTCTAGGTTTCCATGAAAAAATAAATCAATGGACGATAAATCAGGTGATCAAGAAGGCCTGGCTGCCCCATCTTCTCCTATACCAGGTCACTGAATAATATTGGTCTAAAACATTAATATGATGAATGTCGTTTGATGTTTCAATAGAACGTTGCTTCTTCGCATTATATCTTGATTGTTCTTCAATGTTAGAATCAAAAACACAAACCTAATTAAATTATTGTATGGCTATAATAATTGTAACTTTATTTTTTAATTTTATCTGAAAAGTAGTATTTACAAACAATGTTTTCAGAAGATTTGCGCCAAAGAATAATTGTCGACAAGTGTTCAATGTATGATCAACTAAGTAGTAGGTAAGTAAGTAACAATCTGATCGAATGTTCAAACTATATTCTTTATAATACACATGATTTCATTAAATACCTTCATTGGATGGTGAAAATCACGAATATAATACGAGCGTTCCCTCCTTTAATTAAACATCGATGGTTGAGAATAAAATATTATTTATTGAAAATATATTCATCATTTTGGAATTTTAACAGATTTTGATATAACCCTTCTTTCGTATTGCAAATATCACTCCGTAGTATTTATATCTTGTCTAAGTTTGAATGGATGATTGCGTTACACTGTTGAATTGAATGATGGATAACGATTTTAATGAATGGTGAAGTGAAAGTATAGCATGATTGAGTGTGCTCTGGAGAACACGAAGTACGACTGACATTTGAAGACTAACCAGGAAGTAATGAATTTCAAAGTGCTCGAAGACAAGGTGACGAGAAGAAGGCGAGGTAACAAAACGGATCATGGTTTCTTCCTATATATTCTTTATAAACAAAAGTAGGAAACGAGTAACGTTTTTAGCGGGGACACTCGTACACGGAGATTGTTGATTTCGGAAATCCAAGCGAAACTTAATTCTGATATATTGATATAGGAGTACTTGAAAAAACTTCAATCGTCCAATTTTCGAAAATATTTTCAGTTACACTCGTATATGTTATCATATAATGGGATAGGATTATTGTTTCCACATTGAGGATTATGTCTGAACGTTTCGAACGGGTAATATAATCAAAGACGTTTTTTTTTTCATTTTCATGGGTCTACCATATACAGTGAATCTCAAAAGTGATGGATGAATTGAAAAACCGTTCACAAAAATATTTCAGAAAAATACTCGTACAGGTGTATTTCGAAACTGCCCACCGCTCCACACTTGAGGGTGACAACCCCAAATTTATAAATTGAAAAAAACAAAATATGCTCTGTGGAAATTCATTTAATTTTCTTGCATTTTCTTCCACCATTCTTTCATTATTACGATACTAGGGAACTGTTTTGGCGTTCCGCTTAAAAAAATATGGACTTCTTCATGCGTTTGACTTCTACTTAAATAATTTGAAATAAGTTCATTAAGTCTCATTTTTCTATTATTGAGCCTACATTATTATTTGGAAATATTTTTGTTGTATTTAGTTTTGAAAAATGTATCAAAAGAGTTGCCGTACACAAGGGGATTTGGTAATTTACATTTTTGAAGTTTTGGATGCCACCTATCAAGGGTGGGGAGTTAGGGGGTCGAAATATCACATGATGGTAATTTAAAAATAAAAACCAAATCTTCTAAGCAGTTTTATGGAATATTTTTGTCGATGGTTTTATGTACACGATTATAGTGTCTAGGTAGAAAGTATGTTAATTTTACTTATGAAAATGAAAAAAATATTCTAAAAGGAGACGTTATTCAATGAAGAAATGAAAAGGGACTTGTTTTCCTGTTTGTCTATCGAAAATAGCTTTGATGAAAATATTTTCCAATCGATTGCTAACTTCTATTCATGAAGATAAATAGATGAGTACTTTTCCGATCATTCACAGCTGTTTCAGCCTGTTGGACATCATCAGTACCGGGCAGACGGTCCCCTATCAAAGACAAATATTGAAAAACACCAAACCTTTCACGATGGCTCATCCCGACTATGTTGTTATCAAGATAAAATGAAATTATTCAACTCGGAACTTGATTTTGTAATACCACAGCGTCTGGCAATTAATTTCAATCTTGAATGCAAAGTTGTTCAAAACCTTAAACGGTTGTTTATTCAAGAAATGTTGATTAATGGCGAGATGTAAGTTCTGAAGGAGCCGAGGAATTCCGGAAGACATTCTTGATACGAGATCATCACGAGATATTTTTGCAAAAGAAATGGCAACTATTTTCAGGTTTCAATGAATTTCGTAACGAATATGTTTATACAGAATGGTGAAATAGATTTGGTGAAATAGATTTGGTGAAATTTCATGTTGAAAAAATTCGAAATTCACATAGTCAACGACTGAATGTAGGACGGAATACGGACTGATAAATTTCAATTTCAATTCACTACACTTCAGTACCACTTTTTAAAGTTCGTGAGTGACACAAAAATGATAATTTCGTATAAATTCAGAGTGTCTGAAAGAACTTTAGTAATATTCACAAGTACGCTGGTTGTAATCATGAGTACATGGTTTGAATCTGAAATGAACTCATAGTAAAGAAATATCGAAATATCAATAGTTCTACCTCTCTTGTTCAACTGCATTAGGGTATGGCGATTAATACATCCAGACAATTGAAAGAAGTCTCTCAACAAACTTTTATGCCCTATTGAAAATATCTCGAAATATATTGTGTATGCTGGAAGTGGTGACACAAAATTAAAATCACTTGTTATGGTTACCTACTTTTTTTCTTCTCCCTCCATTTTAAACTAATCATTACTTGTTTGACAGCAAGTAGATAATGGGTCATTTAGAATACACGTGTACCTTTTTACTCTGAAAAATTTACTCTGATAAATATGATCTCATGAATACATGCAATTGTCCAAAAGCCAAAATCATTGAATTTCCTCTCCAAATTCTCTGTAAAATCGAAATAAAAATCGTAGGTATTTTCAGTAAATTTATTGTTTAACAGTTTATGGGTTGGTAATTTATTTTTTAATACATTTATTTAATGTCGCATCAACCTCGAGGGTTATTAGCGACGATTCAAATTTCATAAAAGTATTGATTTCTTATAATAAATTTCATATACGGTGCAGCAGCTTTATACGTCTTGGAAAGGCAATTCGTTTTTCATAGTTACATAGTGGGTTGGTAATGAATCCAGTTATATCCAGGAATCAACAACTTCTTCTTTCAATCACAATCAGACATCCCATTTGCAATCGCCAGAGTAGCTCAGTGGTTACGCGTGTATATACTACGCGTGTAGTAATCCTACTGCTGGAAGTTTTTTTATGTAAATAATATAATTATATATTACCATTATTTATCGGAGGATAGTGATCTTAATACTTGTCTGAGCTCTGTTCTTAAATTACCAAATGAACTGCATATCTTTCGCAAGAAAATAAAAATAGAATCGAAGTAACGAACTCATTTATTGCAATTTCACAACCATCTATAAAACCATTCACTTCAGTGGTAAAAAAATCATCAATTGTGGTGGAAATCAATGAGGTTGACGTCAGAACCCAAAATATTCTATCGATATAAATAGCCACTAGCTTTGGATCCAGAGCAAAAGGCATGTATACCTAGTAATAACCAATGATTAATTTTCACTCTTATACATACCTATCATTGAGTAAACATGAAACTCAATGTAAATTGTATTGAAACACGTATATATCACAAATATCAGACGAAGTATTTATCTACTCTCTATACTTGCGTGACTCAATAACTTTTGCAATGACGAGACTCTGATTGAAATCTCTGCCTCCGCTGAAGTTGATGTAGAAAAAAATAAAATTGACTATTCTTTGGATAGTTCCCAAACATGAATTTATAGTTTCCAAGGCGAAGGGTGGAAAAATTAAGTCATGTACTGTAAAATTTCCTAAGGATCAAAATCCAGCTTTTTCACCGTACCATAAAATCCTAAGGAGTGTTCAAAGCTTTAGACTCTCTTCTAGTAAATATTAATGAAAGTACCACCATACCTTCAGTTCGATCAAACTTGAAATTTGTAAAAACATAGAATTCATTCTTTCAGCTAATTGGTGATGTAGAATTTTGCTTCTTTTTGCAGTAGGTACTCCTTTGGATATAAAAAAATGCATTTAGATCCGATATAAAATATTTTACGGATTTTTTGAAAGCAATCACTAAATTTTAACTACTTGTCAATGAAAAAATGAACCAATCGCTTTGAAAAAACAAAGATTCTATTTTTGTAAAAAAAATATTCAATGTTCGTGTATAATTCCTTTGAATCAAATGTTGTTATTTTTTTTATCAGTGTGGCAACTTCGCAGTTGAAAAAATTACATTTTCAAATTGGATAAATTTGTTCACAAAAAACTTTTTTCTTCAGCGAGCAGTATTGCTACCGATCAATCAGTTAGAACCGATGAAAATCACGAATTAGAAATAGGGAAAAAGCAAAAAAACAATAATTTTTGAATAGTGTACGGATGAGTTGAAAAAATCCAGTCAATATCTCGAAGAAATGTATAGATTGCAACTAGAAAACCCACTCTTCCAACATTTGTATAAACAAATAAACAAAAACATGAGAGTCATGTCACCTTAACAAAAACGTTATTTTCACAATGAAATGGATCATTCAGACTGGTAAATATTCTGTCTAAAAAAACACAAGTTCAACTAAACCCAAAGTATCAGTCTTTCAATTAATATTTTCAATATATCCCGTGCGATATTGTCCAAAAATACCTCTCTTTAACTTTGAAAACTATCTGATATCTTCTTTGTCTCCTAGGGATTCATTGTTACTCATTCCGTATTCTCTAACAGAATTATACCATCTCTTACTGAATAAATTGAAATAGAAAATTTATCTTTCGAAGGGAATATTTCCAGATATAATCAAGACAGAAAAGAACCTATGAATAAAAATGGCGAAAAAAGGCTCCTGATAAATTATCGACCTATCACAGTTGATTCCAGTTTCTTCGAAATATTTGAATATTCATATGCCCACATCATTTTGTGAAAAGAACAAAATTTTCTCAGTCAACCAACATGGATTTGTAGATAATAAGTCTACTTCGACAGTAGCTCATTGCTACTATGAGAAGATGTTGGTAGACTTTATCGATGCTGGGAAGATACACAAATGCGGAATTGGGGATATATCCCACCAGTGGCTATGCAGTTTCCTTATCTCAAAAAGTTAATATGTAGCGATCAATGACATCAATTCTCCG